GAAGGTGGGGGAGGAGCCGCCGTCGTCGGAAACGTAACAGGCGAGTTTTTCCGCCGGATAATTCACCGCCAGCAACGAAAGCACCGTGTTCACTGTTATCACCGGCGGCTCCATCACCGGATCCGCCGTCGTCACGAACATATCCACCGGCGGAAGCTCACAAACCCTTTACCCAAAACAAAATTATAATTCGATGTTCCGAAATTATCGGAGATATAGATAATATATATACGTGTGTGTGTGTACACTCTTCATTACACGAACCTTTCATGGAGTCGGTCGGGGTACGTCTTATAGTCCACAGGGCTCCATTTCACGATGGTAACGAGAGACCATATGAAACAGAAGAAAGATTCGCATAGGAACGCGGCGGTCCAAACGGAATCTTTTTGATTCATGTATAGAATCCGATAAGCCAGGAGGGCGAATAGAAGACCGAGAATCGTTACATCGACCGCTCTGAGAATCAAACTTTTGTGAGAAACTTTCTCGTAGAGAGGGAGGGAAGAGCTTGAATCCGCCATTAATGGAGGACCTTTCTTTAGCTCAGTACTGATCTATAGTCTGTGGCCTTTATTCATATAAGGTATATATATATATATATATATGCAAATATTTGTTTACCAAAAAAGGATATGTGTATATGTTTGTCTGTACGTAATGATTGCTATTGAGTGTGGTGATATGCGTATGCAAACGTGATATTTGATGTTGCAGTTGTGTGGTCGAGAGGTCGTGTTAGTAGGCAGTGGATAATAGAGGCACGTACAATAAAGTCAGTTTTTTAAGTCATAATTCATTTATTTTATTTTATTAATTCAATTAGTTTGAAATTGATTTTGATTCGGGTTTTATATCAAAGTTTTCATTAATTTAATGGAATTTGACCTTTGTTAAGTTTTACTTGGATTTCGGTATGGAAACATTTTCGATTCAAATTGGAAATTTAGAAGATATCAAACCAAGCTAAACTTGGTTTAGTTTACTTCGGTTCAGTCAAAGCCTTAACCGAAAATCGGGTCTATAATTTTAGAAAATAAATGAACAAAATATCAACCTTGGGCCATGGCATATGATACGGCCCTATTACCCAATTGTAAAAATTGGGTCTACGGCCCAATTATATGTACAAGTTTACCATGAAACTTTTTTAAAAAATTCTCTTAAAAATCGATCATGTATATCAGCTTTCTTGCGTTTTGTGTGTGTGTGTGTATATATTTCCGTTCTGTAAAAATATTCAAACATCTCGTAATTATATGGCTCTATAAATTCATTTTTTATACTATTTTACGATTCATATATGACTAATGTTATTAATTATATGGATTCAAATCGATTATTTCAAAATTTTGGATATCCGCTATTAATATTGTGTATTATTTATCTTTTATTTTTTTGAAAAAAATCCCATTGGAAAATATGAGTGTCGTGCATTGTGGACTTAAGAATCGTGCCAAAGAATTCTAATATGGTAAATAATTAATTGGGTGCTAAATTTTAGTATGGTGAGATGTCGATGATAATTAAAGATCTCTCCATGCCTAAGTTCGTTAAATAAACTTGAGAGGTGCTGTATCTAATGTGACGTCAGGCAAATGTCATATGTGTATTCGGTTTCCTTCCGCTCTAATTAAGAATATATATATATATATATATATATAATTATTTATTAAATTCAGTGGGCACGAAATCTATTGTCAAAGCGAATAATCACATTGGCCTGCACCTCAATTTATGCAATCATTTCATATTGTTTTTCTACTTTATACATTTATATTCAGTCTAATGGATATTGTAAATGTTAGATATCGTTAGTTTTATTATTTTTTTACATGATCCAAAAGAGATCTCACTTATATTCAAAATTCAGATTCGAACGAGTTTTTGTATTGGCATGTAATAAAAAAAATGTAAGATTCGAATATTGAAAAAAAATAATAGTATCTAATTTTTTTAGGAAATATAATGTGTAATCATATATATATATATATATAGAGGTCTTAATTCGAGAATTAACATCCCTGAATATGTGTGGTATACGCAAAAACCGATTTTAATCATTCATTGGAAAAAAAAGGGAGCTTAACATAATGAACTGCTAATTAATGCATTTAATAATGGACCTAAAAAATTCAACTCTTCTTCAATAAAAAGTGTATTCCGTAATCACGTTTCTTTACATGAATGTGAAAACGATTGGACACCCGATTGACCTCTTTTCTCTATTTTTCTTATTTTATATAATTTTGTGTAATTCCAATTTATTTTTTTACAATATATTACTTTGAAAGAAATCCGTGTTGTATTGCACGTGTTTCATGCAAGGAGAGATATGTGACAACAATATACATAGATTGCCAAGGACAAAAAATGTTGGATTCCTACTATTAACAAAATGTATATAAATTAATGTTTCTTATATGCGTATTTTCGGTCCAAAAATAATATAAGTTTTACAACAATTTTTATAACGAAAACTAAGATTAAAATATAATACGGCAAAAGCACAACCTCACGTTCCCTCAAGGGAAAAAAAAGATATGAAAACACGGAAAAAAAAACATAAATGATAAGAGAGTCGGTAGTAATAAATTAAAATAAATATTTTATTCTGTTAACAATAACATAAGAGCTGCACAGTTAAATGCGGTGTCGGTCCAACCAACCCCAACGCCATATCCCTAACCTTTATTCGCATTTTCCATTTACCAACAAGAAAAAAAGAGACAGAATAAGATTTCAACAACAATTCAATTTGGTTAAAAGTATATTGAAAAACCAACATAATATCTTGAAACTATTATTCTCACCATTACTTTTGTTATAAATGGCATATCTTTTTGTTTAACATAATTTATAATATATCCATATATATATGAATCTGCTGTAAACTATATATCTGTGCATGTATTTTATCATTTTTTTTTTGTTGCCGACAGCTCTATTTTCATGTATCTCACATTTGATATAATTTCGTAAAAAAACGCATTATAATTATCAGTCGAATTCTCAAAATGAGTTGACATTTTTACTGACGATTTTAATTTGTTTTCAGTTTGAGTTTAAATTTTTAATAACGATTTTATTCTGATTAAATATGATAAGAACCCATAAACCGCACATTAGCAAAACGAAAATAAAAAAACTCGCCGCCGAATTCACACCTGCGACACGTACATAGTGGATCTTGCCATATGGGTGACACACGTGTCCTACACCCATTGGGCAAATACTTTAATGAAAATCGTCAATTAAGAGTTTTCGAATTACATTACTTGTCGTATCAAGTTTTGTGCCTTGTGGTTCCATCGGTTAATCGCCCGAAAGTTGTATAATAAATAAAAATGTTATATATATATATATATATATATATATGTATGTATGTATATGCGTGCATGATGCGAGTATAAGCAAGAATGCCACACGTGAATTGCTTGGGGAAGAAGCTACTTTGATTTCATGCTCTGTAACTTATAAGCCACGCATTAAAAAAATATGTTTCTAAACTAATGTCCCATTAATCTTTGCTTTTAAAACTTCTTTTGTTATTCAGTTAATATATCAAAAACAAATTCATACATTAGAAAACATATACCAATAAAAAAATGAATAGTTTTTAAATTTAAAATGAATGGTTTTGGGTGCGAGTAGTTGAGTTGGGTTCAGGATCACGAGTTCCATTTCAGCTGCTAGGAAGGGAGGAGGATAATTTCTTGATTGGGAAGGTGTTGCTCTTTGGGCCCCTGTCGTCGGGCCCTTAAAGACTACTCCCGGATCTAGGTGGATATAAGTTGAACCGAAAGTTCAAGTAAATCTCTTGGTTAACATAAAAAAAAAAAAATATATATATATATATATAGTTGAGGTTGCATAAGAATTGAAATTTGTATTTGACTAATACAATACCATATTATAATTACTGAAATTGAATCTACATTTATAGAAAACATCTCATTTCAATGCATGTTACCAACACCCACTTAAAAAAAATAGTTTGAATAAATGGACATTTTATTGATTTCATTTTATATCTTAAAATAGAGTCTGCTTATAATTATACTCATATTATACGAAAAAGAATGACCCATTATAAATTTAATTTGCTAATTAATCAATAAAAGATATCACCATTATTATGATTTTGTACGTATAATATTACTTTTGTATTGCGCCGAATAAGAATAAAAATATCATTAATTTGCTTCATAACTACTAAACCCTAACCTTTTTAAATTAGTAGTTCGAGATAATATTAGTTGTAACCTTTTGACACTTTTGGTCTTTGTTTCGGTTCCTTCGTTTCAACTTCTCCGACCCAACACCTTCTTTCAAATTTTTATTTAATTATATCTTTATTTGTGTTATTAGTGTTTGATAATTGTTAATTAATGAATGGAAATTATTGTTTCTGGTCGTGATTATTTTATGATAAAACGAACAATATAGACCAATAAAGTGCTGCCACCTTGGATTTAAACTTAAAATGCCAATAATTAGAGAGAAAAAAAAAACAACTCAATCCAAAATTGTACTTTTATCACTTTTACTGATTATTAATAGAAAAATGCCAAATAAATAATTATATATTTTAATACCCTTAACCGGACTTCGGCAAATTCGGTTTACATTATAATAATGTTGACATTTTTTTTTCTTTATAACACGAATGGTAATGAAACGTAATTTTTCACCAGCTTATATAAACTGTTATTGTTCGTACGTTAATTAATCAACAAAAAAACACTGCTCGTATTCTTCTTTTTAAAAGTAGAACTTTCTTTCTTTTTTCATCATTTTGTTTTTTTTCTTATTTAATGTAATTTTATAATTGAGTAGATTGTTGCTTGAAGTAGGCTTTCTTTATATATAAACATTCTTTACCCTCCACCTTGGTTTTCATGCCACGTGATACATGTATATATATATATATATATATATGTGTGTGTGTGTTTGTAACCTAAACCATATGTCATTTAGGTGTGAATATTTGTAATGCTTATAGATATTTCAATTGGTATAAGCATATGTATGTGTATACTCATGTACGTAGCATGATGACATGTCACATGTGATGGGTGTGTTGTGCGTATTTTAATTTTTTTTAAATGTAAATGCAATTGAAATCGTCTCACCAAATAGTTTCCTTGTTATCTTTAATTACCAACAGAACATAACTTAGGTAAACCCAATTTGTCGCTTGTTCAAACACGTTTTTTCGTCAAACAATTTGTATTTTTTTATTCATAAATATTTTATCTGCGTTGATGCCCAAAAGCATGTGATTAAAGCAGTTATTACTAATTAATGGCGTGCATATATAGTTAATCTTATTTATGGATACAGATTTATGCTATGGGAAAAATATAACTTGTCGTACATTTTGGTTTGTACTAAAAACTAATAAAAACTACATATTTTGGAAAATCTTTTTTCACGCATTTGTTTCCAATCAAATTCATAAGAATGATATATATCGACCTAATCATATATCGACAATGACACGTTTATTTCATAATCCAACCGATGGTGGTTAAAACCACCCCCCAAACTCTAGGCACTTTGGCCACATGAAGATATAAATAACTTAAAATGTTTATAATCTATGTGAAACCGTTGACTTTAATCAAATAGAAAAAAAATATATTATATCTAAATACATATCCACACGTACGTATAATTGGAAATAAATAATGATAAAAAATAATAAATGTCCATGACGAAATGTGACGACATAAGTTCCAAGTGTGTGGATGATCGATCAAATCTACCGAAGTGCCCAACTTTTCCATCTCCACATTTTGATACCAAACTCGCACAAATACAATTGAAAACGGAACACTTGTTTCCTCTTTTACAAAAAAAAAAAAAAAGATTCGGCCACTTGTAAGCTCCTCGTAGCATCCTAAATTTGCTGACACGTGTCTCGAGACATCTACGGAACTCTGGTCGGAAACAGAGTGTTTGACCATACGAAGTGCGACACGTCATCACCTTTTGGAGTACAGGCTATCCAATGAATGACCGTCTACATTCCTAACGAAGTGCCACGTCATCCCACCGAACCAACTTCAGATACGTACTCACTCCCTCTAACCTTACCTTCTAAAATTTGTTGCATCGCTGACCGATAGAAGTTTTTTCACATAATTATTTTTTTTCCGTTGAAAACTCTTTTTCGTACCATTGAGTTTCCACTTATTAAATGCGTACAAATATTGACAAATTACATACATATATATATATATATATATGTATCTGTTGGAAATCTTTATATTGAAATAACACATGATTTTACGAAATATTTTTCTTGAAATATTCGGTTACCAAATTTAAAACGACCCCACGCCACGCGGATAAAATATTCATAAGCTTTTTTTTTCTTTTTCGTTTATAGATAAAATCGATGTTACGTATACACTATCTAATTAGGAAAAAAAATAGCGCCTCTTATATAAATACCTTCCGAACAAGAAGCTAAGTGGAATGTAAGACCAAGACAAAAAAACAATTTTTTCTTCAGAAGTTTCCTTTGTCTTCTCCAAATGGAATGGACGAGGGGAAGAACATTAGGCCGCGGCTCCTCCGCCACCGTCTACGCTGCCACGTGTCACAATTCTGGCGAAATAATCGCCGTGAAATCCGCCGAGCTCTCGCGGTCAGGGTTCTTGCAAAGAGAAGCCAAGATCCTGTCATCTCTGAACTCTCCGTACGTTGTCGGATACAGGGGATGTCATATTACCAAAATGCGCTCCGACTCCGCCGTGTATAACCTCCTCATGGAATACGCTCCGTCCGGCACGGTGGCGGACGTGGCGGCGAAGAACGGCAGCGGGCTCGGCGAAACCATGTTCGCGAAGTACACGCGCCAAATAATTCGGGGATTAGAGTATCTTCACTCCAAAGGCATCGTTCATTGTGACATCAAGGGAAGTAATGTCCTGATCGGAGAAAGCGGCGACGCCATGATCGCGGATTTCGGGTGCGCGAAACGGGTCGACCCGGAACCTGATTCAGCCGAACCGATTCGGGGGACGCCGGCGTTCATGGCGCCGGAGGCGGCGCGTGGGGAGAAACAGGGGAAGGAGAGTGATATATGGGCCGTGGGGTGTACGGTCATAGAGATGGCCACTGGTTCTCCGCCGTGGACTGCGGAAGCCGGCGACCCATTCTCGGTGATTTACCGGGTCGGCTATTCGGGTGAGTCGCCGGAGATACCATGCTTTCTTACGGAACAGGCGAAGGATTTCCTGCGAAGGTGTCTCGAGAGAAAACCAGAAGAGAGATGGACGGCGAGCCAGCTTCTAAACCATCCGTTTGTTTGTAAACCGGATCCAGAACCGGGTCTGATTCCCGGTTCGATTTCGAATTCGCCGACGAGTGTGATGGATCAGTTGTTTTGGAGGTCGGTGGAGGAAGAGGAGGATCTGGGCCATCCAAGTAGGTGGGTTTCTCACGATGAGAGGATCGGACGGTTGCGATGCGTTGGATACGGGGGGCCCACTTGGGATTTGGAGGGTGGGGATTGGGTTACAGTGAGGGAGAGATGCGACGGAACGATGATTGGTGGGTCACACTGTGAGTTCGTGATTAGTGGAAACGTGATGTGAAGTCTCGAAGATACGAAGATTATGATATGATGGGTATTCGGGTGGATTTAGAGAAATTAGATTAGGGATTAGTGGGAATTCTCAATTTTTTTGGGAAATGAATATGAATTCGTTGTATAACCCATGATTTTTTCGATCCAAATTTTCAATTATTTGGTCCCGTCTAATTGTTATTCATCTCTGAAAAGAGTGAACAAGAGGTGGGGTCACATCCACATACAAAATCTAAATTAGATTTACTGTTAAATTGGATTTTGAAATCGTATGATTGGATTTGTTGGGTTTCAAAATCCAAAATAACTTGCTTTAATGCACCTTTCCACTATGATTTTTTAGGTTAATAACAATAATAATACGGAGAGATGGTGATGGTAGGGACAGACATGCAAATAACCTTAAGCTGTATGAAGCAAAAGGGTGGCCAATTACGTTTCCTGAATCATCACGTCTCTCACCTCTCATTCATCCAATATTATATAATAGCTTACGCCCTACGTACTTATTTATTTGCGTCCATCCATTAAACATAACATTTACTTATTGAAACTTTCACTCGAGGTATATGCATGTAATTGGCATATAAACTACTTCAAGTATATCAACGATTACATATATATATTTATCTTGGGAGATTTTTCAAGGATATTTAAGATATAATCTCCGAGCATTTAAATTCGATTCATACATATTGGGTCAGTCCAATATCAGTTCATGATGGACCGCTCTATTCCGTAAGATATGGGCCTTTTCTAATGGATTTCAACATGGCCTGGCCCAACACTCATGCCCGCGTAGGAGAGGAACGTCGCATGAACATAAGTTCATATACATATATATATATATATAAAGAAGGTTACAGCAGTCGTTATAAGCTAATTACATTCGGCATAATAATAGAACCACCAAACGCATTGTATGGTTTTATTCAATAAAAAGAGATGTTTGAAGTTTTGCGAGGGGAACTCTTTTTCCGTAGCCATGAAATAAAAATATCGACTCGAATCGAATATCATATCATTAGCTTATTAGCTTGCTCCCTTTAGTAATAAATATCAATCCATGTTCTTGATTCCTTTGCGTAATCCATATTCATGGTCTTATCCTGAAGTGAAATCATGGAAATGTATTAGACGCATAGATATGGACAAATCTATAGCTTTCGTCACATATATTATCATTACTATTTCCGATAATAAATTTACGTAGATACACCCAAATAGATAAATATCGAATGTTATTTTGCGTTGTATGGTTAAAACTAATTTACAATTCGATAATAACGTAAGGAAAACATAAATCAACTTTTTTTTTAAAAAAAGAAACATGAAAAACCCTAATAAAAATAGGGATAATAATACACGTTTCAAGTAAAATACGCAATCAAGGAACGTACGTAAAGAATGAGCGCGTGGCGCGTGTGTTGTATTTTGCATGGCACGTGTGTGTGTTTGAAGAAGAAAATCCGGACCAGTTTGGTATCGATAGAGCGTATTATGAAATGAAATCGCAAAACCAGACCGGATCCGGTTAAGACCTCCGATTACTTGCTTAATTCTCTCCATCGGCTTGGTTTTTTACCAAAAAAAAATGCCTTAATTCGCGAATCACATACGATATATGCGTATGTGTGTTCTTCAGTCAATATCGGCATGTTATATATACATGTGCTTACACATATATACATCTCACTCCCTCTCTCTCTCTCTCTATATATATATATATATGATGGTTATGCGTGTGTATATCTATATGTATGATAGTGAATGCATAGAGAAACGTACCAGGAATATGAAGAAGCCATCCATCATCTACCAGAGAAGCCATTGGAGAATCTCTCTCTCTCAGCTCAGCGGCTGCAACACCGAAAGCCTTCTTATGATCTGATTTTGTAATAATAATAAATTTAGATTTAAAAATATATTTATTTTTCCTTTAAGAAAAGCTAAAAAGCTAAAAGACGGATATATTTCTTTTATTTTTTAAGGTTCATTGAACCTGGTCGCCTTTTCGTTTCCACCCACAGGAATTCGAGGGGGATGGCGAAGAAGAAACGAAAGTGGGTTTTCGCACATCTATTTACAGATATTTATTATTCAGTTTGATTTAATTTCTATACGAATTTATTACAAAATATTTAATATTCCATCCTTTTCAGTAGGGCTTTGATCATTCTTTGTTTTCTTATTTAAATATCTGGGCATTACGCGAAAATGCTTGATAAATCTTGACGTAGGCATGTGTGTGTCCCATCAATTAAAAAAGTGTAAATTTTGTATAAAATTTAGTAAATGATTGGATTATTTTTAATAAAATTTGTTTGGACTGAAATTTTTATTTTAAAATTATACTAAAGTGTTGTGTTTTAATTATATCAGTCCGTGGATTCCAATAATATTTTCATTATATTATAAATTGCTGTACCTTTTTCATTTGGCTTTTGGTTACTCTTTTTGTTTTTAAAATTAAATTTTGGACAGTACGCTAAAATGCTTATTTAAGTTTTTATATAGTAATACTCGGATATGACTATTTTCATGATGGTCACTTCGTTTTGATTTGATTTTTTTTCAAATATAAAAATTATATTCTTTCAATTTTATATCGATTATTAAATCAATTTGTATTCCATATAAATTTGATTTTTGTTTATATTTTATTTAAAACATTTATTTGAAAACATCATTTTATTAGATTTCTCATTTGTTTTCAAATTTAGTTTTAAAAAAACCATTCATTTAACTTTGAAGTTAATTTGTTTCGATATAACCATATACTATTTTAATTGTATTTGCGTTGATTAACATTCATTTAACTCAAGTAGTTAGAATATTACACAAAAAAAGTCTTAAACTACAAGAATGTTATGTTGTGGTGTATAAATTTCTTACTTTTAGCAAAAAGAAAAATAAAAAATATTTTTTTTTTCAAAAAGGATGACAGGGAGACGCAAAGACATTAGTCATCTATATCTTATGATTCAAACAAGTTGAATTCAGAGTCTAAATGGAAAAAAGCCAACTACATCTTGTTGCGTTCAAACACTTTGAGAACATATATATATATATATGAAGAGAAATTATATTGCAAGGTTGTATTATTTGGACCGTAGACAAATTTGAATTTATTTGCCAGATCGGAATTTGTAACCGGATACTATTTTCAATGGATACACGTTTCAAAAGTTATGATGATTTCTTTTAAATATTCCCACTAAAAGCGGTATAAAATTAAATTTATTGTTTGAAGCTATGCACACGCATAGTATATATACATGCATGTATATATTCTTGAAATCAATTCCATAACTTTCGACTATTTCGCAGTTGCCCATACCGATTAATCAAACAAAATGGATAAAGCTAAAAGTATGAAAAATAATATTAATTTTCGTACATGTCTCTATTTAATCACGTGCGCACCAAACCTCAGAATTTGGTCGGCAACTTGGATATTTGGACTCTCAGACTTTTTAGCCAGTCCCTTGATTTTTCTATTCGGAGTGTTTAATGAATTTCACTCGCAATGATAGTTACATACATATGCCATAGGGATGAACATAAAAAAAATCCAAAACCCATCAGGAATTAGTCAGAAAGCCCAAACATGTGGGCTGAAATAAAAGCCCATTTAATTCTTGTAAGTTGGGCCTTTTATAAAGCCCGTTATTAATACGGTATCATTATCAAGATATTATGGGCCATAATATGAAATTAATGACATTATGTATTGTATATATATATTTTATCAAATTCGTCTCTATTTATTATTTAACGGAACCAAATATTAGTATGAATGATAATTAGCACATTCGAATATATATATATATATATTGGTAATTATATACTTGCTAATAAAATTTCGTGTCGCATGGATAAAATAAGAAAATTTGGAAGGAGACTACGAGACCGGTGGGTTAAATTCCATCCACATATATATGAAAACAAAGTCTTATGGCATCATTATCTCTTTCTCTGGTCTTCAATGGATCCCATATTTCCCCTTCTCCGTACCCAAAATTCTCCTGACCTCCAGAAACCATGCTCATAAACCTCTCCTCTTCTCCAATTTCTCGCCGATTTCCTTATACTCTCTCCTGTTTCGACGACCCCGCCTCATATTTCCGGCGAAGATCCAAAACCCAATTCCCAAAATCTCATCTTTACCCCAAACTCCCCGCTTTGTCGGACCAGAGCTTCTACGGCATCAAGAACAGGTTTTTGTTTGGAAACAAGAAGTGCGCAGATGGGGAAGGGCTTGATTTCAGGACAAGAGCTCTTGCTGGTGTTGATTTGGGGAGTTTCGAATCTGTTCTAGAGGCTTCTGCTGTTCTTACAGCCATCATCGTCGTCCACGAGACTGGTCATTTCCTTGCAGCTTATCTTCAGGGCATTCGTGTAAGTAAGTTTGCAATTGGGTTTGGTCCAATTTTAGCAAAGTTCAACTCCAACAATGTCGAATACTCCCTTAGGGCGTTTCCCCTAGGTGGGTTTGTTGGGTTCCCTGATAATGATCCAGACAGTGATATCCCAGTTGACGATGAGAATTTGCTTAAGAACAGACCGATTTTGGATAGAGTGATCGTGGTTTCTGCTGGAATTATCGCAAACATCATCTTCGCTTACGCAATAACCTTTGTTCAAGTGGTGTCTGTCGGATTACCAGTTCAAGAGGCTTTTCCCGGTGTTCTTGTCCCTGAAGTTAGGGCCTTTTCAGCTGCTTCCCGTGATGGATTACTTCCTGGAGACGTAATCCTAGCTGTTGATGGCGCAGAATTGCCCAAGACTGGCCCTGATGCTGTTTCTAAGGTTGTTGACATAGTAAAGAGAAACGCAAAGAACATCGTGCTGCTCAAAATCGAGAGAGGGAGTGAAGATTTCGAAATCGGGGTAACCCCGGATAAGAATTTCGATGGAACGGGGAAGATCGGGGTTCAGCTGTCACCGAACGTGAAATTCTCAAAGGTTAGACCGAAGAACCTCTTCGAGGCGTTCACTTTCTCGGGTAGGGAGTTCATCGGGCTGTCATATAACGTTTTGGACAGCCTGAAACAGACCTTTCTCAACTTCTCTCAGACAGCTAGTAAAGTTTCGGGTCCTGTTGCCATCATTGCAGTGGGTGCAGAGGTTGCAAGATCAAACATTGATGGCCTTTACCAGTTTGCTGCATTGCTTAATCTTAACCTTGCAGTGATAAATCTTCTGCCTTTACCAGCTCTGGATGGTGGAACGTTGGCTCTGATCCTCATAGAGGCGGCTCGAGGTGGAAGAAAGCTCCCTATGGAGTTGGAGCAAGGGATCATGTCATCGGGAATCATGCTTGTAATAATACTAGGCGTATTCCTCATCATCAAGGATACACTTAGTCTCGATTTCATCAAAGACATGTTGTAGTCTCTCGGGAAAGAAGGGTGTTTTGATGGAAACTCAAGGGCTCTTTTCTGGAATTACCGGGAGATGGATCGATCTGATTTTCACTTTTTCAGCGGCAGGGAATGGATTTCTTTTGGATACCGTCTTTTCGTCAGTCATTTGCTGTATATCTCTTCTCTATATCATTGCAAAAGACAAAGTTATTGGTAACGATTCTCTGGAATGGATATGGCTTACAAACAGGATTCAGGATCATTCTGGGAGTTGAACATCTAAGCTCTGTAAATGCAGGGCATAAGGCACTATATCGTCGGTAATTTCTCAGTCTATCACATGCAGTTTTTTTTTTTACCGGGAGAATTTCTTGATCTGTTGAATTGGTATCAGTAAATTTCAGAACTTTATCAAATGGTTCTGCAGAGCCCCATGATCTTGAGCTTCAATGGCGTTTATGATAACAAACTTGAATCAGGGGTCTTGTCTTAAGTGAAAAAGACAAAAAAAAAAAGCCTCAATATCAGGAACATCTCTATTGGGGATTAAATTGGATTTTGCTTGAGAGATACCAAGTGCATCAAAGATGACATTTTTGCTTACTCTGCAAGCGTCCAGTGATCCTGAAAATGATATATGATTCATTTTTCTAACATATTTAAGAAGGAACATTGCAAATTTATCTTGCACTATGTAAAAACCAAAACCCAAAATCAAGATCTCACCACTATTATATTCTATTTATTATAAGAAACCATCCTCAAACATCTTATAACCTTGCATTCATATTCAACCAACAGCAAACCAGGGGAGATAAACAGAGAAAACCGCAGTTATTCAGGCAAGAACGAACAAACACCACAACATGGCTGGTTTAGGACTGAGACATGACATTATACTTTTGCTGCTGCTTCTGGTTTCCATGGAGTGATTACCACTTGGTTTTCCTGACGATGGCCAAGCAGTTATCTTTGGGTCGGTTGTGAGGCAAATACATCACTGGACACTTGGGATTACTCCGTTCCACTCTGCATAATAAGAGCCGGCGAGATCTCAGCCATGGATTCTTATCAGTCTTTTCAGACCAAACCAGAACCAAACAGAATCAGACAAGAACCATATGAGGGCAGACATGACAGACAAAACCATACAGATATGTTCCTATTTATCGGTTTGTTTTGGTCTGGTTAGACTATGCTTCTCAAACTTATTCAACACATATATTCCATATTTATCAGAATTTGTGCTTCGAAATTCCTCTCCAACTGGTTCTGGGTTTTGCCCAATGTTTCCATAAACCGTCCTCACAGTTAACAGTATAGTTTCGGTTCTTATCTACTGTCATCAGAAGATCAACCCTTTTTCGTAACTTGAATCTAATAGCGAGATTATCTCATGAAACTAAAGAACTGGAAAGCAAAAAGTGACAGCAGTTGGAGAATTACCGATAATTCAGGAGGAAATGATGAAGGAAAATGGAAACCTCGAGCTTGGCAAGATCATTTCCTGGACACAAATGTCTTCCTCCACCAAAGGGAAGGAAAGCACCAGCCTTTGGTGTGAAGCCCTACAAAAAGAACCAGATAATGTCAATAGCTTCAACTTGTAGAGGATCCCAGTGCCAATACAAAGACATAGAGCAAGAACCCAATGTACATCATCCCATCTGTCAGGATTGAATTTCTTTGGGTTGGGATAAATCTCGGGATCCAGGTGAACGTTCCTAAACCAAGTCAGAACCTTCCAGCCTTTTGGGATGAGATAGCCTGAGCACCAATAAACGAGAAGGAGAAAAAACATGCAAAATCTTTTTTAGATAATTCACCTTGAATTCAAAGGCTAAATGTTTCATAGATGTTCTATACTGACCATTTACATTGACATCAGTCTTTGCCTCACGAAAGACCGTCAGTGAGAATGTTATCACTCGAAGCGTCTCATCAACAACCTGGCCAAGATCATCTTGGTATCAGACAAGAAGTAATATACATTGTTGCAGTAGAGGAATGAGAACAAAATTTTTGCCTGAGAAAGATACTCCATTTCTCGAGTCTCTTTAAGAGTCAAACCCTTTTGGCCAGCAGGCCTCTTTTTCAAGATCCTCTCTTGTTCTTCCTGTGGCAGCATCACATGCAAATGAAGAGATGAATATCACAACATGAAACAGGAAGAAACAAATTACAGGAAAAAAAACAAATAAAAGATTAAGCTTTTCTCCTTCACCTTGGCCTTCTGTAGATACTCAGGGTTTTCCTGAAGGAAAATGGTCGCCCACATGATGGTGTGGCCAGAGGATTCATGACCCGCATTCAGATACATGAGTAGAACATCAATAATTTCTTCATCATCTAAATGCCTTCCATTTTCATCTTCAACATCCATAAGATTATCCAGCATGTCCTTCCTTTTGGATGTGATGTTCTGCATCCTTTTATTTCTGCGTTCATCCACTGCCGACTGGAGTATGGCCACAAGCTTTTTCCTCGCCTATACAAAGAAAATAATTATCATCAATCTCTAAAGGCATACCCAACAGCAAGACAAAAGTTTAAAAAAAAAAAAGCACCTTGAGTCCTTTATGGTAAGCGAAACCGGGAAGATTGATGGCCATTGCCCGAACTCCATAGTTAAGGTCAGTGTATACTCGTTCCATTGCCTCCATAATATGCTCGCTCTCCGAGCTAAGAAAAATATACATTATGATCCTAAACGTAAGCTTGCGCAAATGGGTCAAGAACTCGAACTCTCCCATTTTGGACCACTTCTCGAGAGCGGATATAACGTTTTCTTCGATGTACTCTATGTAGACAGAAAGAGCTTCATGGCCGTTGACAGGGGCAGCGGTCAGACGACGGAGCCGCTTGTGTTCTTCAAAGGATATTCCAATAAAGGACTTCTTGCCAATGAGTTCCATGGTAGATTTTGGCCAACCTGGTCCAAAGGACTCATCATCTGCCAACACTCTTCTGCAAGTGTCCGGTGTCGTCACTAATACACTCGGGTTTCCAAACAAGTGTGTTTTATAGACACCGGTATTTCCATACCTGCATCATTCAAGGCCGCAACACTAGGTCAAATATCGAACTTAAGGCCTTGAAATCAAATCCAGGGTATGACAGATATATTGACATGGAGAAGCCGAGAAAACAATAAGAAGCATTTTCCGAACAAGAATGACAAGAAAATGTAAAATCATCTATTGAGTAAGATTTTGGCAAAGAAGACAGAGTGAGAAAAAATACTTTGTGATGAGGGAGCGGGTGAAGGAATCAGGGTCACTGCCCTTGAAAGCTTTAAGGAATGGCCTCATATTGCCAATGAAAGGCAAACCCAAGTCTCCTGGAGGCAGATAATGCTTCTTCTCCCCAAGCGTGGACTCATAGATCAATGGATTTATTCTCCTCACCACCCATTTTAGAACATAGAAACCCAATATAGCCAAAGGAAACCATAAAGGTGACCAACCCATTTCTCCCATGGCTTCACTTAGTGACTCTACTCTACTACAACTTCACCCCTTTCCACCACAACCTTGAGCTCTCCCCTTCTTATATTGATGGATATATATGTATTCTATTCTGCATGTAGATAAGTACATACACATGTAAAGAATAGCATTTAAAAAAAGTTACCTAATAAGTAGAAAAGCAAAAAGGGTAACAAACATCTGTAACGGTGATATACATTGTAATTAATGAGGACAGATTTGCAAAAAGGAATCCATATCCAAAGCAATGTTCTTGGTGTATCTGTTGCTGCTTAGCAATAGCGTGGAAAATTGAAGCTTATCGGGACTTATAACCAAAAGGCCCCACTATTGTATTTATCTATCTTGTTTGGTAGCACACTCTCCACATGTGGATATGTATTCTCATATGACAAAACTTTCCTTCCATTTTTGCTTCTCTGAATACTTAAAATTCAGCTTTTCCTTCTATACTCTGTTCCAGTCCTATTCTTCTTTAGGAAAAGAAGTATCATGCCATATATATATATTACCAAAATATATTCGTATCAATCCACCGGATATGACTATAATCTCATTTTAGCTTTTACACTCTTTTTGGGGCACATGTTCCTTTTCTTGAGTGGATGTTACCTACCAACATTACATCACCTCATAAAAAATTAATAGCAAAAGCACAGGAGATTTTAATTTGAATACCAATCCCATACTTGGTCTATGTGAGATCACAATATTGAACGGCCAATCCAAACAGCCAAAATTCATGGCTACCACTTCAGAAAGGACCAACAGCCTAACACTACAAGCAAATCTGCTCAAAAGAAATCAAAGGGTCCATGACAATATGCAAAGCAAATGGAAAACACTAGAATTTAGATGTGGACGAGAGCGGGAAAGGTCCAAAATGGAGGTGAACATATCGAAGCATACAGTAACCAACTATAAAACAATAGAAATATCTGATCAATACATACAAAAATCAAATTTTACATTGAAAAGGTCCAATATTGAACAAAAGAACAAGAGCTCCAACGACCAATATAATATTCCTTTGCAGAAGATCACTGTTCCGTCAGATTGGCTAAGTTGAAAACGTAGTTCAAGAGATTTGTCTCAGAAAAACAACTTTTCATTTGTTTTGTCCTGACAAGAGTGAAGATAAAAACAACGTCCACCGTTTTGAATAAGTTATTGTTTCTATGAAACAGGGACTTAGCCGTTCAAGAAAAACAACACAAAAGATTCTAAATGAGTATTTCTATAAACAAAATCCAAAACAAAGATGAGAATCATCGCCATCTCAGCTGATAAAGTAATGATTTTTCTGGTCATTTGATGTTGTCTGAGTGGTTTCCTTAGATTGCTCACTGTACCCACTTACTCAATGTCCTTATATTCAATGGCAAATACACTAAATACACACTAGAACTACACCACTACAGCTGCATTTCAACTGGAATCAATCGAATTCAGAAACACTAACGATCGGGATCTCCAAATCCCTAAATCTGGAAACTTTCGGATTGCGATGAGTCACCAATCGATTCCCAGAACAAAAAGCCGAAATCTTGGGGCAAACCCAAAATAGAAGGGTGGAAGAGACTGACCTCGAAGCCCAATGAGAGACCAGACCATGTTTCTGCAGATGGGCAGAACGGAGACAGTAACCCCGAAAAAACCGGGCTTAATACTCATCGGAGAATCCTTCTCCACCATATCCGTTGGAACTGTCCCCGACTTGTCTGAATTCGGATATGGGAACGAGGAAAAACCCTAATCGGAGTAGCATAGCAGTAAGACCGAACACTGACTAGAACAGAGTGTGTTGACTCGACTGTCAAAAGAGTGTAAGAAAGAACCAATCACTGCCGAGGAAAAGCGTCCCACTGGATCAAAGACTCGCTATTATTAATTACAAATTTAGGAGCCGATTTTCCTTGTTTTTTTTTTAATAAATAACCAAAAGTTTTTTTATTTGACAGTGATGTCGTGATATTATTTGGTTCGGCATATAATATATATATAATTACCATATGTAATTAAGAATGTGACATGGTGGTGCGAGTGTGAGGAGGCTTCCGCAAATTGGTGTGGTGGTGCAGGTGTGTGGTCGACGGTGTTGCACGCGGCAAGGCTTCGCGCGTGTGGACGAAACCGAGGGAGCGAACGGCGTCGTTTGGTAAGGGGCATTTTGGGAATTTCCCATGTTCATCACCCTCCTCTGGGTCTCTTCCGGCGATGAGGTTATTTTCCGTACAATACTGAGCTCCGACTCGCTACGGAACTCGTACATGATGGTGCCTTTCCGTTCTTGTCGGGATTGAGAGTCGATGCGAACCACAACACACGGTTTCTCCTAATTGTATAAAAAAAGATTTTTTTTTTGCCCGTTTTATTGTCAAAGAGACATTTTCTTTCGCTGCAAAGAATATACAGAACAGAGCACAGAGTCTGCCGTTTCCTTGTAAATCCGCGTGTTGCTTCACTTCCAAGGCACCAGAAAAAGAAAAAAGGAATATAACAAAAAAAAAACGAAGCATTGCGTCCACACTGTAGCGGCCGGTTTCCTCAAGACTAAAACGGAAACGCACTTTTCCAGGTCGCAAACGCAATCGCCATGGAGTCCATAACGTATTCCTCCTCGCTGTCCTCCTCCTATGTACTATTCATACAACCCTCCCAATGCCGCAACAAGAAGAAGAGAAGAAACTGTATCTCAAAACGTGGAACGCCAAAGAGCGGT